GCTTTGGAAACTCCAGATCTAGGCAGGATAGTCGAAGATCGAGCTCGAATGGCCATGGCTGGCCGGACAGAGGTTGAAGGCGACCGGAGAACAGCCATCGAGCAACGACTTGGTCGAGACCCCTTCAAGATCTGGTCATAGGACCTCAGAGATGAGCGCATAGAAGCCATGGGAGGCCGGTATAGGCCTCCGATGAGTCTGGAAAGCCATGGATTAGGGTTTCGGTGAGAGGCGACGGCTAGGGTTTGAGGTGAGTTGAGAGAGAGTTGAGAAAAGAGGAGGATTCAGAGGCGGCGTATTGTGAGGAATGGGGTAGGGTTTGGGGTCGTTTGAAATTAAAAAAGGAAAGGGGAGGTCTGGGCCATTGATCAAAAATGATCAACGGCTCAGATTAAAAGAAAGCGGGCGGTTTTGATTTAATGGGTACTGGGTCGGGTTGATTGGATAATTGGGCTGGGGTGATTTGGGCTCAATTGGGGCTGAATTGGGTTATCAATTTTGCTATAATTGAAATGCATTGGGGCTAAAAAATATGCAAAAATTACCTTACTTATATTTTGGTGTAAACATGAGAATGAAATAAGTTACTCACCAAAAATGATAATTTGGGAATAATTTTGGATTTTTGTGGTATTAAAACAGGCAATAAATTGGTTTAAAAATCATGAAAAATACCAAAACTCATGGGTGTGCTTATATATGCACACATATGCTATTTTGGAAGTATTTTGGGTACAAAAATACATAGGGAAAAATTGGGTATCAACAGCTGCCCCTCTTTACCCGGGAAGGATGAAAGAGTTGTCGGATAAAGATATGATGGCCAATTTTGACCGGAAGCGGCGATTTGAAAAGAATTTGACCGAGCTCTGGTTTCTGAGCTGCCTACATATCCCTGGTTTTACAGGAATCAGGCCGTATGTAGTTCAGGAACCATTGACGGAACATGCCGATGGCGATTCGAAAGAGACGGGCACGATGTTTTAGGGGGGCAAGAGGTATTTGAAACTTGATCGGCGGTGGGGACTAGAGCGGGATCGCTCCTACTGAGACGGTCATGCTAGGGGCCCCTTACGGACCAAGCACTATATCAACATAAGGCCTGAAGGCCTCCTCACATCACACGTTTTCGCACCCCCCGGAGCCATAATCAGTGATGGTGGCTCCTATTTTTGCAATAGAGCGTTTGCACGTCTGTTGGAGAAGTATGGAGTTCGCCACAAGGTAGCCTCACCGTACCACCCACAAACAAGCGGGCAGGTGGAAGTGTCCAATAGGGAAATCAAAAGTGTCCTCTCAAAAACAGTGAATGCAACAAGAACTGATTGGGCAAGGAAGCTGGATGATGCATTATGGGCATACCGCACAGCCTTCAAAACTCCAATTGGTATGTCGCCATACAAGTTGGTATTTGAAAAGGCATGCCACCTTCCGGTTGAGCTAGAACACAAAGCACTGTGGGCACTGCAGCAGCTGAACTTAAACATGGAGACAGCGGGCACCAACAGAGTTAATGGGTTGCATGAGCTTGAGGAATTCCGGTTCCAGGCATTCGAGAGTGCTAGACTATATAAAGAAAGGATGAAACTGATGCATGACAAGCACATCTTGGATCGGAACTTCAAACCCGGAGAATTAGTGCTGCTATATAACACAAGATTGAGGCTGTTCCCGGGTAAGTTAAAGTCCTGATGGTCAGAACCGTTCAGAGTGGTACAAATGTTCCCAAGTGGAGCTGTGGAGATTGAATCTGAAGATGGGACGAACAAATTCACAGTAAATGGGCAGAGGTTGAAATATTACCTTGGAATGACTGAAGAAAAAGCGGACAGCGTGGTGATAACGTTGGAGGTGCCCCAATAAACAAATAAGGAGTGATGATATGAGCCTGCGTCGTGTCGCGACGTTAAATCAGGCGCTGCGTGGGAGCCAACCCATGTTTTCTTTTGCTTTTATGTTGTACTTGATGTGTATGAAACTAACCCCCTTGTAAAAAAAATTTAAAAAATTTAAAAAATAAAAAATAATAATAATTCAGAAGCCTGTGACCGCGACGGCGGAAAATTCGACATATTCTGTCTCTGGGCACCGCGACCGCGGTGAAACACGCCTAATTTGCCCGCCCAGGTAAGTCCACTTAACTTTGTATTTTATTTTTTTTTCTTTTTTTTTCTCTTTCTTCTTTTTCTATTCTAACTCGACCGCCCC